TCTACAAATGGCAGAGGACGCTCGGAGCTGCAGGGGAAGGCTCAAAAGTGTCCCCAAAACATCTTGCTCCATCGCCCCCCTATCGCCCCCTTTTCATTCCATCGCCCCCACGCCGCCCCTTTTCATTCCATCGCCCCCCTGAAAAATGAAATCGCCCCCTGGGGGGCGGTACCGCCCAGGTTAAGAACCACTGGTCTAGGGCAAGGATAGGCAACCTTGGCTCTTTTATGACTTCAACTCCCAGAGTCATAAAAGAGTCAAGGTTGCCTACCCCTGGTCTAGGGATTCTTTTTGGTAAATAACCAGAGAAGAAAAAACAAACATAATCTAAAAGGTGAATTATTTGATCTATCACTAATACTATGCACTAGATCCACCCATGTCCTGAAGCACACACACACAAAAAAGCTACTGCTATTATTATGCAACAATTAAAAGATTCTTCTTCCTTCTAGTTGCTCTTTATCACCAGGATGAAGGTATTCTAAGTAGCAGTAGCAGCACCCTTCCTGGCTGAAATATTTGTTAAAAGAGTTTGCAGTTGTTTTTATTAAGAAGTGCAGTTAGCATTTGTGACAATAGCACTATTTCTTAAGCAAAACAAGAATTAGTTCCAGGACAGAAGTTATATTCCTTATTTGCTACAATTCTTATCAGCTCCCCCCTCTCCCCCCCCGGTTTAACAGAATCTTTATTGATTTGTTAACACATTAAGAAATGATTTGATCACCTGTGACTGAGATATCAACACAGCAGAGTTCGACTCTTGTCTAATATTTGAGACGTTCAAATATTTTTTCAATGAATGTGGTCCATCAACATGTAAGGACAAAGATGTTTTTTCATTCCACAAACCTAAAATAATACATACATTTTAGCCTGTTACTTTCCTACAATATATTCAAAATAATGTAAATTTTGTCTAACGCTGTATAAAGTGTAAAATTGTAACTGTATCACATAGCAAATCTGTCATACATATGGGCAAAAATGTAACAAGCACCCAACATCCACCTCACATTTAATTTGGCAATTAAAATCCCTACTTTAATATCTAATTAGGATTTTTGAAACCTTGTATATTTAGCAACACATTTGATTTTCATAAAACCTTTAATGTTGAATATCATCTAAACTGCTGAAAGTAAAGTTAAATACAAGTTGAACAGTTCTAAATGGTAGGAAAGAACATTTTTATACTTGAAAGGATATTTTAGCATCTTATAGAGCAGTCTATGGTGCAGTCCAGCATTTTAGCTTAAGAGGTAATAGAAAATAGATGAAAACCCAGTTAAAACTTTACTATATAATTTTCTACTTAACTGCTCAGTTGCTAAATTATTCATATTATGTTTTGAAATTGCATTTCTATTTGTATTGGTACTGAGAATACATTTCAGATTCATATAATCCCATCCCATCTCTTTCCTGACTATGCTTAATGTAAAATGTATTCACTTATTTTTGACAATAATGTCCTCAGCTAATCTATGAGTAACTTCGGGAGCTCAGAATATCAAGGTCAAAATACCTTATTTTGATCAGCATTTCATGATATAAAACAGATTACCTCCAAGGTCCCTTCCAACATCATCATCATCATCATCATCATCATCATCATCATCATCATCATCATTTAATATAAAAGATATATCAAAAGTGGTTTTTATTTTTGAAAAGGCTACTGGATTGGAGGAGATAGAAGTTTCGCTTCCTATCCTGGAAGTTTCATCTGTTGTATTGGATGGTGTTGGAGATGAAAGGACAGTTATTGACAGTTGAGATTAATTGGGGGGTGGGAATGATAGGTTCTGACAGAATGGGTGGGGGTGGGGGTGGAAAGATTGTATTTCCTATGCAGTCAACTGACTTAACACTTTGTGTGGTTACTTGGGATTTTATCTGTGACCTCAGGGTCACTTGAATCAGAGAAGTGGAATCTTCTTGGAACAGTCAAAAAGACTGCATTGTAAATTGGGGATAGGTGGTGTCTTATCCCTCCGCCTCTGTTGAGAGAGGCTGCTCAATGTTAATATAAATGGCCTCTTTTACCTCTCTTTTAAAGCAATGGTCCTCTCTATCCAAAATGTGGACTTTGCTGTGTTCAAAAGAGTGACCCTTATCTTTCAAGTGCAGATGTAGCTCTGAATCTTGTCCTGATGGATTAGATCTCCTATATCAGGGCTTTTCAACTAGTGGTACAGGTACCACCTGTGGTACATTGGCACCTGGCAGGTGGTACGTGACCATCCTAGAAAAGTGGTAGTGGGAGAGGGGAATGAGCTGAACCGGTGGCAGCACCGCACAAGCCTAAGCGAGAGATAGCTGGCGCTCCAGGGCTGTCAGGGCTCAGCGGAAGCGCCAGGATTAGTGCTTCTTCGGGGCTGTCAGGGCTCAGTGGAAGCGCCAGGATCAGCGCCAGGCTCCAGATGGCGCCGATCAGCTGGAATGTTGCAGCATCTCCAGGGTCTTGTGATTTACATTCAGATGCTTGGCAACTGATTCATATTTATGACGGTCACAGTGTCCCAGGGTCATGTGAAGTGACCAAAACTTGCTGCAACCACCCAGCAGACGGGGGGAATAAAAACCAAACACCCCCCATCCCACCCCCACTGCCAATCCTCAACAGAAATGCTCAGAACAATGAAAACCTCAGACAGGAGGAAGAGTGCCGCCGGGCGGGCAGGCAGGTGTCTTGCTTAGCTGTGGCTTGGGGGCCACTTTTTTCAGTGCCATTGTAACTTCGAACAGTCACTAAGCGAACTGTTGTAAGTTGAGGACTACCTGTACTTTATCACTTTTTTCCTCTTTTTGGGGGGGGTCATCAAGTTTTTGACACCTTGCTAGGCGACTGGTGGTACTTGGATGTTGCTATATCCTAAAAGTGGTACAATGGGTGAAAAGGTTGAAAAGCCCTGTCCTATATTGTGCCATGTGCTTGGGAAGTGGTGGCTTTGTTTCACCAATGTACAGATCTGCACACGTCTCACTGCATTGTATTGCATATACTGCATTACTCAGTTTGTGTCTAGATATTTTATCCTTGGGGTGGACAAGTTTCTGTCTTAGTGTATTGTTGGGCTTAGTATACAAGTATACAAGCTCCTCCTGAGCATTTCAGACATTCCAGCAACATATGGAATGACAATGTTGCTTCATTTGTTATTCTCTTCTTTATCTGTAGTAGAAGAGCTCATGCTGGTCTTTTTGGGGATTTAATGAAGGTCCAGTTCTGAGGGATTCCTTGATGTGTTTTTTTTCTTCTTTTCCCTCTTTACTGGTAGGCAAACTTTCAGTTCAATGATGTAGGGTTCTGATCATTCCCATTTTGTTGTTGTTTTTTTCAATAATTTTTTTTTATTATTTTCATCATAAAAAAGACATCACAAATATAACACAATATAATATAAAAAAACGCCCACATCCCCCACCCACCCACCCCCCGAGACTTCCCAAACCTAATCCCAGGATAATATTCAAATATAAGTAAACAATTATTAATATCTCTAACTCCACAAGATATATAAATTTTACATAAATAAGTGAAATATATATATATAAAAAAAGAAAAAAAAACACCAATTAATTAAAAACCTAAATTATATTCCACTATTCTATGCTTCTTTTGAATATAAACAATCCATCTTCTCCATATAGATAAAAATTGTTCATTTGAGTGATTCTTCAAATAAGCTGAAATCTTTGCCATTTCAGCAAGGTGCGAAACTTTCAATCTCCAATCTTCCATTGTAGGTAAAATTTTACTCTTCCAATTTTGAGC